GAGGTCAGAGGGTAACTTATGGAAGTTGGCTCTCCCTTTCCACTACGTGGATCCTAGGAATGGAACTCAGCATCAGGCTTGATGGCAAACACCTTTACCCACTGAGCCATCTCTCTGGCCCAAGGTTTCACTTTGATGGTTTGAAGAATGGGTTGGTAGATGCATGTGATAAATCAAGTATAGGAAAATGTTGATTGTAAAAACTTAAGTGGTGGGTAATTGGGTATTCACTATGAAATGCAATTTCTCTGTGTTTAGAAATGCTCAAATTGAATTACAGGGAGAGAGGATGCTGGAGAAATGCAGCACGACAATGCCTCTCCCGGCCTTTCAGTCCCAGCTGTTACAGTTAAATACAAGGCTACAATAATTAAAATTAAAATTAGCCTTTTCTACAGGTAAGAACTTGCCTGACTCCCTGGCTAGCCACCCAACCACTGCCTCATACCTTTCCCATATGAAAGCCTGTCACTGTCCCAGCCACCACACCGAAGAGTCCCCATGAATGCTATTGTCAAAGACAGGCAAAGCTGAGCTCCCTCGGTCGAGCCTCAAGGACAAGCCACTTTCTGTAATAGCCATCGAAGTCACAGAGTGCTTATGGCCCCCATTTCAGCACCCTTGACCAAGGGATGGTGAAAAGAGTGGCTCTGAGGAAGATTGAACAAATCTTAGGTAACAAATGAGGTGGAATCTTGTCAGGCATTAAGGGACCCATTACATCATTCAAAAGGCAAATGGTGTTATACACTAACTTAAGGCATCAAAAGTGAGTACTCAAGTCGCTGAAGTGCAGGGTTCTAACAAGATATCAAGAAGTAGCTCTCCTGCAGTGACATGGTGGTTTAAAGAAAAAGACATTCTGGTGCTCCGCAGCCCCTGCCACACCCTCCCCGAGGTTTGAATTCGCAGAACTTCTGTCGGAGACAAATTGGACTGAAGACTTGCCAGGATTTCAAGAGTGCAAGCTGCATTCACGAAGAACTAAATCTGCATCTCTAGCGCGTAGGATTATAGCAGGATACCGACACCAGTTCCTGCCCCATCCCTGAAGGTGGAACACCAAATACAGCAGGATCCTCCCTTGGCAGAGTTCACCCTCCCTGCAGTCTTCTCAGAGGCTGGCGAGTTCCTCTTGCGCCTGCGTGCGTGCAAAGCTTGCGCGGTGGGCGGGGAAAACAGCTAAAGTGGGAGGGTCCTGCGTGGACTGGGCTGGTGCACAGCGGTAGTTGGCTCTGGAACCCCTGTGGTCTGAGACTGCTTAAACCACTACCACGGAATCCCGAGGAGAATGCAACTGCCGCTGCTCCTCACACAAGGCACCTGCCAGTATTCGGGTCTGCAGATCTCATTGGTGGGAACCGAACTATTTGTGGCGCCTCTGAGGGCACTATTTTCGGGGCGTGGCTGGGATGACTGGGCATCACTGCTCCAGGCTGAACCGGTCTGGTCTGTGATTTCATAAAGCTATATGTTTTATAGCTTTGTTATATGTTATAGTGCCTTTGGTCTGTGGCCAGGGGCCGGTGTGATGCCACTATGTCTAAAAGAGGAGACCGTGACATCACAACGCCCTAATGCGTTGTGATGAAGGTGGGCCGAGCCTGAATTTGAGACAGGCTGATTGAAGAGGATTTTTAACACCACGTATCTAGCACTCTTGAAACTGAGATGACTCCAAGAATTCCCATACCTTCTGGTTAGTTCTTTCCTCTCCCCTGTGAACAGTGAACCCAGCGTCTAAGAAAAGGGTTTCTAGATTGCTGCAAACTCCAAAATTGTGGAAACTCTAGGGACCTGAACTTCTTCCTCTTGAGGAGTCTTTGAAAGCTGTTCCATCTCCCAGGATGCCTCTAATCTCTTCCTGGTTAGGAATTCTACACTGCACCAAACTGATCACCCAAGGCCTGGTAATTCCACTACTTCCTACACAACACCTGCAAGTTGACCAGTTCTCAGAAGGCCAAGTAGGCCCTAGGGTCGGGGAGAGGGACTTGAAGAGCTTACTTTGGTGGGGAGCAGAGCCAAGAGAAGAGAGGAAATTTTCTAGGAGTGCAGGGGAAGAGTTGAAGCAGGCAAAAAAAATCTACCCCTTGCCTGTCCCCACTCCCCCTCCCCCTCTCCCGTGTGTGCCTTATATAAAAGGGACACCGGGTACTAGAGGAGAAACTGAGTTACAGCGCTCCAGAATTGCGGCCTGTTGCGTGATCACCTGCAATCGTTGGGGCTGCATAGTATTGTCATGCCTTGGAGCAAATGCTCCCAAAAACTAGGCTCTGCTTTTACACCATGAGAGCAACATGTGGCATCCTCAGTAGTCTGGGTATTTTTGTCTAGACTGGTGCCCCATTCCTTTGCACCATGCTAAAACTTCTGCCCCAGGGAGTTCATTCTTTTGAGGATGCATGTTTGATATTGAAAGCCTCTCAGCCTCTGGACCCAGGGTGGGGCTTGGGATTCACCATGCCAGAAGTGGAATTCGCCAAAAAGGAAAACATCCCAAGCAAACCTTCTGGAACATTCCACAGCATTAATGATGTCCCGGGGGTCTGGCTAACTGCAGAGGTTCTGAGTGTCCCGAAAGGAGTGAGGGGACAGCTGTGGTAGTCAGGCGGGGTGGGGGGTGGACAGAATTCCAGAAAGAATAGAAGATGGTTTTCTTACAGTTTCAGAAAGTGCTCTCTCTCTCTCTCTCTCTCTCTCTCTCTCTCTCTCTCTCGTGTGTGTGTGTGTGTGTGTGTGTGTGTGTGTGTGTGTGTGTGTGCACTCAATCTAAGCAATATCATCCTCCTCACTGGACCCACATAAAGGAACCCACTGTCACTGCAACTTGTCTTACCATAAACTGTGATGTAGACCATCCTCATGTCCTGACCTGGTTGACCTTGGGTTCCAAGACTTCAAATCAACAGCCCTTCCAGGAACCCAGAGGCCCCAAGACTCTTGGAGAAGGGCTTCATTCGCTTTGGGGCCTTGCTCTTGTACACTCTGGTGGAAGACATTGGGCACTTACCAATCAAAGGGAAATGACCAGTACCCTTTGACCTGGCACACTACTCACTGGTAAGTAGGTCCTAAGACCATTCGAGAAGTTTTTGAGGGAGACACCTTATATGCTGATGAATAACGGATAGGCACTGTGGCAACTTTTCTTATGGTTGTGGAAACACACTTGGAAGTACCCCAATCTTGCGTCGCCCATCCAAGTCTATCCAGCAGGGGGCAGCACAGCCTCCAACTCGGTAGATGGTACTCACCCGGGCAGACCAGGCCGATGCCCTAACTCTAAACTGAATTCCTGGGAGGCAAGGGTCTAGCCTCCGCCGGGCTTGGTAGAGTTCGCAGAAGGGATTGGGGCAAGACTGGCCATGAAAGGCAAAAGCATTTTAACTACTGCAATCCGAACTAGCTTTCTCGGTCCTCAGGACCCTGCTTGAGGCTGGCTGGGATTTGGGTCACTGAGGCAGGGAAGCACAACCCAGTGATCCCCACTACTACATCGTGCCAGGAGTTGAAGCAGAGAAAGCTAAGCTTGGTTTGGGAAAGGCCAAGGGCGCCACC